ACCCTCAACCCTAAACCAAAAAGGCCTCTTCTAAGGAGGCGGAGACCTCGGCCCCCGCCGCGCTCACGCGGGCGCTGAAGCTGCTGTGGAGCAGCTTTCGGGCTTTCACCTCGGTCTGGGAGAGGGGTGGGGTTACCTGAACCCCAAAAGGTAATAGAATAATGGCCTTTTGGGCTATTTTTTTGAGGTTTTGGGCTATAATTTTACCTAGTTTGGGGGTTCAGGTAAGGGTTACATAAGGTCAGAAAAGGTGATGTAGGGCAATATAGGGTTACATAGCGGGGTAAAGGGTTAAGGGTTTAGGGTTTAAGGTTTAGGAGTTGGGGTTTATAGAGATTTGGATTCTGAGTTTCGGGTTTAGGGTTCATTTACGGTCTAGGATTTAGGGTTTAGGGATTACGGTTTACGGTTGAAGGACTAAAGCTCTGGGATTAGGGCCAGGGTTGAGGGATTAGGCTGCAGGATTAAAGCTTGGGAATTAGGGTTAGGGTTTAGGGAATAAGGCTTAGGACTCACATAGGGTCTATATGGGTCTAGATAAGATTTATTGAGTTTTTGTTTTGCTGCAGCCGTGCGCAGGACATGTGAGAGCGTATTGGCGCATGCCCCTTAGGGATGGTTGGAGGTGTAGGGATTAAGGTTTAGAGCGCAAGGTTTAGGATTTGAGAATCAGGGATCCAGGTTTGGCTTTAGGGTGAAGGGTTTTGGGATTTATAAAGCTCACCGAATTCCCCGAAGATTTTAGGAAATCAAAATATGTGCATGAGACGTATTAAATTCTGATGGTTCGTCTAACATGAGCTAATCCCACGGATAAATGGCTTATGTTTTCATGACGTTGGCACCCCCAAGATCCATCTTGGCCGCTCCATAAACCCTAAACCCTAAATCCCTAAACCCGAAACCCTAGTTCAGGAGATCAAGGGCTGTCATTTTGCCTACAATTGAGGTTCAGGGATTTAGGGTTTAAGGTTTATAGGGATTGGGGTTTACGGTTTAGGGTTTAGGGATTAGGGTTTAGGGATTTAAGGACTTAGGGTATAAGGATTAGGGTTTAGCGTTCAAGGCCTGGGAGCAGGATATCAGAATTAGAGCAATGGAGAACCAAATGGAAACGAACATGGAAAATCAAATCCGAACAGGGTGTACATTACTGATTCCAGGCACTTTTCCAAGGATTAGGGTTCAAGGGTTTGTGGGTTGGGGGCGGATTAGGGTTCAAGGGTTTAGGGTTCAAGGCTTTGAGGGTTTAGGTTGTCAAGTTCGAGGATTTTGGGGTATAGGGTGCTGAGCATGGGAATGAGGGAACGGACGACATGCTGAACACTGATGTTGGAGTACCCTAAACCTTAAAGCCTTAACCAAAAAGCCTAAACCCTGAACTGCGCAGTGATGGAAGCCCTCTGAGCCATAGTCTAGACACATAGCATACCCCTTAATAATCCCTATAGTAGTCCCCTACATAACTCCCTTTAAGGAGTTTAGATCATGGCTCTCACAGGCCATGGTTTGGGCATTCAACGTCGAGGGTGGAGTGGTCCACTGTATAGGGGCCGAGGTTAGGAGCTTCAGGAGCATCAGTCTACTGGCCGAAGACACCGTGGGCTGCTATATCCACGCCATATGGGTCATAGTCTAAACTCCTTGAAGGGGATTATATAGGGGACTAGTATGGGGTGTTTTAAGGGGAGAAACTAAGGGGGCTACTAGGAGTTAAGACTATAGCTTACATATATCCTAAACCCTAAGCCTTGTGCAGGGTTCCTCAAGGGGCCTAGAGTTTAGAGTTCAGGGTTTGGGGGGGTGGGGGGGGGGCCTATATAGGGTTCCATATTTGTCTTGAATGTAAATCACGAAATCGCCGCAATGCCCAACAACCTGCATACCTGCAACAGTGCTTCACATCAACATTGTTCCCCCTGCACCCTAATGCCAAACATCAGCAAGTGGCCATATATGCTGGGGTGGCGGACATATCTAATGTTCTAATGTTAGGAGTGAGGCGGTGTTAAGGTTACTATGAAGGCATCAGTCAGCTTCCCCTACTTTGGGTCTGAGAAAACACTACAAGATTTCGGTCTCACACATGTCACTTCATGTTATAAGGTCATGATGAGCTGTTGAATTTGCAGTCCCACTGGAAACTCTGCAAACCTCTCATATCGTCGGATTGGAAGACGCGATCGCCATTGCCAACATCCTGCCGCTGCTCAAGGACATAGGAAGGCTGCTTGTGAAGTTGAGTGGGTGAAGACGCGGGGGCGGGGGGGGTGGGTGGGGGGGGTAGGGCTTGGGGCTTAGGATTCAGGACTTAAGGTTAGGGTTTAATACTTTCAGATTGTAGGGCCCAATGTAGGGATTATTTGTACCCTTGGATCCCTAGGGCAACATCCTCCGAATCATCATGTTGTTGTCTTCCGTCGAAATCCAGACACTCATCCAAATAAACTTACTGTTGCTTATGGCGAAGTGTAGGAGTGGATCCCTATAGAAAAATCCCTCGATGAAATCCCCCTCTATCCCCCTATGATGGTACCTATATTCACTACCCCACGCCCCCCGAAGCACCAGTAGATGAACCTTATAACCTGACCCCGAAACCCTAAACCCTAAACCCTTAAGCTAGAGGAAGGCCTACCCTGAACCCTGACCCCGAATCTGAAATCCCTGGCATGGAAACACAAAAGCTACCTAATATGGGCCCTTAGACCTCCCAGGGAGATTCTAGGAACCCTTCGGGGTGCCTAGTTCGGGGGTTAGGGTCTAGGGATTTAAGGTTGAGGGGTTAAGGTTTCGCGATCTACTAGGTATACTAGGGGCCCTTGATTTCTACATTA